CCCCTTTTTTAAATCTAAATGGTGATTTATATTTTTATTATTAATATTTTTTATTCTTATTTAATCACAACTAGAAAATCAAAAGCTCTGTCTCCTCAGTTTCAATAGCTTCATGTGTTCTTTTTTTAATATTTTAGTAAAAAAATATGCCCCAAAACGTTTAAAGATTATCAATTAATTTTGTAAGAAGTAAGAATTTAAATAAGTGTAGTACGATTAATACAGGCAATATTTTATCCTCATGATTATGAACATTTGTCCGAATCATTTTCATAATAAGAGTTGAGCAAATTTTCCTACAACTCCGATTCTACAGACTTGATTATTTTGAATTAACTAACAGACTAATTGAAAGGTTGGAAAAATAAGTTATTTTTTAGTTTATTTATTTAATTAAATTTTAGTTAATTCAGATTACAAATTATGTCCACGACCCAACTTTTACTTGATTTTTGTATTTTTAGATTTCAAGAAAAGCTTTTTATTGTTTAAAATTTTGCAGTTGATGAAGTTCGATTTTGGACGAAAATTTAACATTATTATACAGAAGATTATATTTGTGAGGTTAATTAATTAGTTTAAGTAAATCATTTTCACAGTTAATTTTATTTAAAACTTTCATCAAGTTATATTTTACAGATTAGTGAAATCAGGGATGCCAACTTTCCACACGTTTGAGGAAAATTTCTTTCTGTGGAAGCTAAGTTTATGTTCTAATGTATAATTATTTGTTTCGTGAATTTGATTTAAAGTTATTTTCCACACTACTACATGTAAATGATTAAAAAATTCATATGAAATTTCTCTTTGTACCTCTCATTGCGATAATATTAAATATTTGAAGAAGATTATATTTGTGACAGAAGATTATATTTGTGAGGTTATTTAATAAGTTTAAGTAAATAATTTTCATAGTTAATTTTATTTGAAACTCTTAGACAGGGACGTAGGTAAGGAAGGGGTATAGGGGTTTCAAACATCGCCCATTTTAAATGGCAATATTTCCTCAAACTATTTTTTTAAAAATAGTTTTAAAAAAATTGTTTCTTTTATTGATTTTATAAGGTAAAAAACAGCACTAAAAAATCATTTTACGACATCGATATGGGGCTCTTCCTTGCTCCAAAATGTAAAACATTTGTTCTCTCACAAGGAAGCAATACTCTGGGCGATACCCATGTATCTCCCTGTCGTTTACTTACTAAATTAGCCGATTCTCTTAATGATAGGGAAATGTTTCAGAGCTTCAAATTATCCTCCTTTATCTATATCTATGGGGAATTATTTTTAAGGGACAATGTGGCTGATCTATAGGATGAAGAAAAGATAACTTTTTTATTTGAATCTGCTTATAAACGCTACACAGGTAAATTTTCCTAGAATTTTTGGGTCCATTTTCAAGATTGCAATAAGATGTAACCACAGGATGGTGGGTGTTCTAAGAGTAGTTCCATCTTAAAGGCAAGTTTAAAAAGGGAGTGACTCTCAAATCAAACGCTCTCTCAACATTTAAGTCAGGAAGCTTTTACTACAATGCTTTCAAATTTTGCTTTAACTCTCTGGCTGTCTTCTAAACTTTTAGTACACTTATATTTTAATTTAATGGACAATTTCTTTTCATACATTATTTTATTCAATTTTTATTGATAATTTTTCCCCTGTATTTGACACTTTGCTGTTATTTATTTTATTTTTAAATGGTGTTCAGGTCTACGATGTTCAGGTCTAATTTGATTTAAAGTTATTTTCCACACTACGACATGTAAATGATTAAAAAGTTCATATGAAGCTTTGCTTTGTACCTTTCCTTGTGATATTAAAATGTTTGCAAAATACCTAAAATTCTACAATATTTAGTTTTTAATTTCATATCACTCAATAAAGTATTTTTCAAAAAGCGCAGTCCAGTGAAGCCTTATTAAATTAGAAATATAAGTACTTTTGCATTAACCTGATGCATTGTATTGGTAGGCTTTGTTATTTTCTTAAAACAATTTTTTTTTCAATATCGTAGACATAACTTCTTTAAAAAAAATACTGATTTTATTTTATTTTTTACAACATCTAAATTGCTAAACAGGACTGTAGCAAGTAGAATCTTTCCTTTTTTAAGCCATTGATTATACTTTTCTTAAAAAATTTATTAAATTAGGAGTTTATTAATGAAATTCATGCAATATGAATTATATTAGTAATATGCAAACAACATTTTTACTATATATAAATGCTTTTATTAATGTTAAGTGCAATGAAAGTCAATATTACCGACAGTATGCCGATATTACATCCCAACAATTCGACTAAAGTTTCCTTAAAGATTTAATCATGATTGGTTAAGTAAATTTTGTTAAAAATATCAAATATTAAAGAACAAATATATTGGTAAAAGTTCTAATACCTTAGTATACAAATACACTGTCATTTCATAAAACTAAAGTGCAGGTAATTAAAATCCAATTTAAAAGAAAAACTAAGAAACTGTTGCATCACAACACTGCAAATAATTTTATAAGTATCTATTAAGTGCTTCAAATTATGTACAAAAATTTCTATAGATTATTTTGTTGAATCAAAGTAGTTATCTGTTACTTTCAAAGTATAATTTATTTTAAATCTATGAATTGCTTTCTCAGACCCATTTCCAAATTATTGAGTAAAAATGTCAATTTTTCGGTGAAAAATTTCCTGTGTATTGATTCATCATCAACTATTTTATTATTATTTTTAGTGACACTATAAAAATTTGTACTTTTTGACTCGTATAATCATAAAATTAGTTTCTGAAATTGCATACTATTGAAGTAATTAAATTAAAATCTTCATCTTAAATGAGGATTAATGATGTTAAAGTAAAGCACCTCTAATGATAATAACATAAAATCGTTTTTATAATATTTTAACTTATCCAAACTTTCAAACTAATGAAATAGTTCCCTTAAAATCTGCGTGATAGTTAATAAAATGGATTATTTGCGTAAATAATCGATTTTGTTATTAAGTATTAAACTAGATTTTATAAAATTTCATTGAAAACTTTTAGTACTAGTACAATCTCAATGACAATTAAAAATAAACAAAATTTTAAGATCAAAATAAAATATAATTTCAAAATGGTTTGCAGTAAATGACTTAAATTTAAATCTAAATAAAACTAAATATATTTATTTCTGTTTAAGAAAATCAGAATTTAACTTAAGTTTGAAATTTCACTCTCTCTCCTGAAAAAGTACTAATGAAAATTGTCAATGCTATATTCTACAATCTGTAAATAATATCAAATATTTAGGACTATATATCGATTCTAATTTGAAATGGAAAACACATGTTAACAATTTAGTTAAAAAATTGCGTTTTATTTTAGTTAAATTTTATCATCTTAAGAATAAAATTCATTTTAATTTTGTGAAAACACTCTATTACTCCTGGTTTTATTCTTTAATTAATTATGATGCAATAATATATGGCGGTGAATATAAAACTAATTTACTTCCTTTAATCTCAGTTTAGAATAAATGCTTCAAGATTATTAATTCTCTAAACATAAATAATTCAAGTATAACTACTATCAATATATATACAAGAATTATCCTATTACCATTTCGCCATAATGTATTTTTTTTTCGAATTTTAATTTATTTACACAGCAATTAATTAATATGCAAATTAAAAACTAACGTGTCTGAAAGGAGACCAACTGAAATATTCCCCAATTTATAAAAGAAATTTCACGAAAACAGTTTTTTTACTTAGCACCTAAATTATATAATAAATTACCATTCCAGTTGCAAAACATCCAAATATATTCTTCTTTTAAGCGTGCTTTATTTCAATTTATGATGAACATTGACGATTTAGACCTCTATTTGTTACTTTAAAGGAAGCATTTGATTTTTTATACCAGTCTTGTGCCAATCCAATTGAAATTCTTATGTTACCTTTGTAATTTTTTTAAATAGCTTCATGTATTTTTTTTCTATTATTACAGTGTTTATATGATGAGCAAAATAATTCATATTTGTAATATCCCCTCCTTTTCTTTAATTTTTTTTTTTTAAAATTTCTAATTTAAATTTATTGTATTACTTTTCTTTGTCGCCTGGACAGGATTTTCCTCTTGACGACGAATATATATATTCGTTGCATTTATGTGTTTGTTTCTGTTCCCAATAAAGTTATATTAGNAAATTCTTTTCTTTGACACATTAACTCAGATCTGTCAAATTTTGATATTTTTGTAACAAGATCGATTTCGTTTAAAAGAATTTCTTTTATGTATTTTGAATTCAACACCCATATACCTTTTTTTTAATAACAAGTCAATTCAAATTTACGATTGAAGTATTAGTAATGCTCGCAGTATACAAATAATAGCAATGTAATAAAACGTTCAATATACCTTTATTTTATCAGGAAAAAAATGGATTCTGATATTTTTATTCTTTATAGGGTAATAAACACCGTTACTTTGTACACGTTATTCAAGAACCAAGTTTTTGTGTCTGTTACTAAAGAACGAGCAATCAGAATAATTATTTTATCATATTTTTGTGTTAATATTTTAGTATAATTTCTAATTTTCACAAATTATGTCTAAACTTTCCCACAATAGGTACCTCTTAAAAAAAACCCTGACAGACCCCTGAATCTGTATTATCTTCATTACTGTATTTAAATAAGATGGATTGTTCGATTGGGCAAAGCTGATGTTCTTATAATGAATTGCATTTTACCAACAGCTAGTAATATTAACTTAAAGTAATCAATTTTTGAAATATAATTTTATTGATGAAAAATTCATGTTAATTTAATTTTAATTTAGCTGATGATAGTACGGTTGAAGAAGCTCGTGTGCTTGGTTTGGCCATGGTTCCAGGACATCATATAGTCTCCATAGAAGTAGACAGTGATGCAACTACAAATTCTGAAGTGTTATGATTATAAATATTTTAAAATATGGTGTAAATATTTTATTTATCCTAATAAATATAAAATAGAAACCATTGTGCAAAAAACATATTTTATTGTTATAAAAATAGCGTATAAATTGATCAGAGCTTTAGTCAAATCTATAAAGGTGAAGTATATTTAAAACAATTGGGTATAACTATTTCATTTAAAACAATAAAAATTCAGGTACACTTAAAGCAATATAAATTTCAATTAATACATTTCTATAATTCGGAAAGTATTAGTTGAGCCCATATTCTTTAGTAAGGTTCCCTGCAATAACAATCCTTTGAATTTCACTTGTACCTTCATAAATTTCTGTTATTCTTGCATCTCTGTAATGCCTTTCAGCAGGCATGTCAGTTACATAGCCCATACCACCTAATATTTGAATAGCCTAAAATAAACAATGCATGCTGTTAAAACAACTCCAGTTAATTTATTTGGAAAAAAATATTAACGAATAATTGAATTATTTGGCTGATTATCAAGAGCAAATTGATATAAGTATTTGCATCTGTACTACTAAAGTGCCATGCTACAAAATAACATAAATGTGTACTCTTACATAAACAAAATAACAACTTAATTTACTGAAATGAGAAATGCTAAAATTTGATAACTATATTGAACTACACAAGTAATCAATTTTAAGTTTATTACATTTTAAGAGCAATTTATGCTCCTCTGCTTTAGAATACAATAGGACTGTGTAAAGTGTGCAATATATTTTGATGAAATTTTTTAAAAGTTTGAAACAATACTTTATACATTTAATGAGAAAGGCATAAATTACATTGTACTAAATTTATTCTATTAAAGTTTAATTTACAAATTATGAATACTGCATTTTTCGTTTAGTTCATCAGCATTAATATTATCTATAAAGCCAAACTGCATTATGTGCGAAAAAATCAAGACGTATTTTTCGGATGTTATTAGTATTTTTATTGCATGCGTGCATTGAAAAACAAAAAGGCTCTTAGAATAAGGTTCTTTTTGAAAAACAGAATTGCAATTATACGATTTGTTTAATAAATGTATTTATGCATATATGTCCAGAACATATTACCTGATGTGCCACAAATGTTGCAGTCTCAGAAGCTGTAAGTTTAGCCATGGCAGATTCCTGAAAAATAATATTTCTTAAGCAATTAAAATAAATAAGTTAGCACTACTGGAAAGAAAGTAGTAAATGTTGCTGTCTCAAAGGTAGTATGACAGATAAACAGCTTAGTATGAATGTTACATTTAATACTGGTAAATGTGATACATATACTGAACACTACTGAATCAAAAATCAGTATTCAGAAAAGTTACAAATGTTTCAAAAGCAGAAAGCTTTTTAATGGAAGTTCCCTGAAATAAAATATTTTACTTATAAATGTTTCTATTTATAAAACAAAATAAATGCTGAACATTGCCTGCTGCATCAAAATAACTCGGGAAGTCATTGGACTAATGTTCACCAATCTTAGCTTACCAAGTTTTTAAAGGGTAATTATTTTGCTAATATGGAACTGATACAGAAATGTCGGATTCACCCGATATTTTGTAGCCACTATTCAGCCGATGTTTACCTTATATAAAATTGTCAACAATATTCCTACAATATTTTATTTCCCTTATTTACCTAATATCAGCCTTATACAGAGTTGTTAAGTTCACCCGATATTTTAAAGCTGTCATTCAGCCTATATCTTTTCGATATACAAATGCCAGACTCAACCGATGTTTTACAGCCGTTACTAAGCCAATGTAAACCAACCCAACTAATAATTGTCCGATTGACCCGATATTTTATAGACGTTACTCAACCAATATTGGCCATATATAGAATTGTACAATTCACCTGATATTTAAAAGACGTTATTCATCCATTGTAGATCCTACTTAAATTGGTCGATTAACCAGATATTTTATAGCCCTTAGATAAAACCTGAAAGGTAAAAAAATAAACGCTTTTCTCTATAATCCATACTTAGTTGTTTTCAAATCTCATGGACGGATAGCCATCAATATAACTCTAGAGCTACTTTTTCAATAAAATCAAAACTTGCAGTGCTCTTGGTGATTCAATTTTCTACTCCAGTACTTGTCATTTTGACCAAGGTAAATGTTTTATTTTATAAACCCGTTGAACAGCCGATCCAAATTGGAGTTCATGATTACTAATGTCCAACTATGTCGACTTGTAATTTTAAATCTAATCCAGAAGACAATGGAACTCCTGAATCTCGTGTTGGGAGAAATTTGCCTTAGAGGAAGACTTTCTGATGGAACTAACCCACATTTGTGTTGCATGAAGAGGAACACCTTCCATGGTTAGCCTGATGGTCAGAGGTCTCTAAAACCATGATACGCCTACCACGGAGGATATTTTATGCCAGCTCGCACTCGGTACGACCAGGGAGCGGAATTCGTATCCACCAATCATTGCTGAGATTCAAAGCCGGATGATCTAATTGGAAGGCGAGCGCTCTATCTCCAGAGCCACCATGGCTTTAGGTGTTGACCAAGGTGATAATCATTTCCAGTAATGCTGTAAAGAGAGTGCTTAATCAGATTGCGCAGTTGTATCTTCTAAGCCCACTCTAAAATGTAGTCGATAGCTCAAGTGCAGCTTCAGCAATCTATTTTTTAACATCCTGCAATATCAAGAAAAAGAATAAATCTTTAAGGTCGCTTAGTTTTCTATGCCAAATCGCACCGCATTACCCGCAAAAGCCATATAATGAGTAAAAGCAATTTTCCTTTTCAAAATCTGTGTGTTTAATTGTTCTATTAAATAATTTTCAAGATATTTGGATCAGCAGAGAGTTTTAAGACAAAGCATATACGCAGTAGTTTTCTTATTTTATAATAAAAAATCCCGAACAAAAATTTTCTTTCATGTGCAATTTCACCAACATTTTATATTAACTATCACAAGCTTAATAGACAAATAAAGAAATATTTATTTCCAATGGGTGAATTTTTGGACTGTTGTGAATTTAAAAAAAAGTTCTATGAGCAAAGAAGAAAAATCTGTTATAGGTAGATTTGTTTGCATTGTAAATCACTTATTAAGGAACTAGATATAGGAATGGATATTATTAAAGTATTTTAAGTCTTTCCAGGTTCAATAGCTGTAAATACAAAACTGGTCCTTAATTACAAGTCTATAATGGTTTTATATATTGCTAGCCAATAGTCTTAGAATGGCTTTCGATATCGGATTGAAATGTAAAAGTTTTCTAATAATAGGTCCTGGATGACTTGACATTCTGGCCAAATATTTATCTTTATGTAGGACCTTTATAGGTTTAAAATATAGGGTGATTATTGGGGCATCTAAATTTTTAATATTAGTCCTCGAATGCTTTTGATCATAGGAACAATATTAATTTCTATATAGGACCCTTGTAGCCTTACAATATGGAGTCTGTAGCGTAATTAACACTACAACTTTTAAATTCCAGTTTCCTAGTATATAAGATATGTTAACTTGACTCTATCTTGAGTAACCTCTTAATAGATGAAGTTTGACATTGTCGGTAACTTAGCCCCATAAAGGCTACTTGCAGGCAGGCTTGTCTCAGTCTTCATAGTTGACTTGCAATCAGTCTACATAGGTGACTTTCGTACATGATCGAAACACGTGAATCTCGACAGGAAGACCACCTTAATAGGAACATGCGTACTTTGATGAACGGATCACAGTGAACAATCCATTTGCAATTTGTGAATGTGACATTGATCTGCTCAGTCTAGATCAGACACAATGGGGTCCTTTAGCTTAGTCCCACATAGGCGTGATTTGAACACACATGCCTCAAACAACAATTTACGAGCCAATATTGGAATGTCTATATTTTGTAATATTGGTTCTACAATGACTTTCAATGGGCCGGGATAGCCTGGTCGGTAGGGTGCTGAGCCTATGTCCGAGAGTTCGAACCCCGTCGGCCGAAGACTCTCCATGTAGTAAATGGTGACTGATGCACGTTAAATCTGTCGAGTCGTAAAGTTCTTCATGTTCCCATAACAAATCAATACCTCTGGGGGTACTATATCGGAGATCGATCGTTCTCTGATTCAGGTCAAAAATTACGAACTGTGGATGAATGGATGTATGAACTAGTCCGCTCTATAAACGGATGTGACGTATGGTATGGCAGAAGTCGAATTCTTGGCCATAGATGACGGCACTGGAAAACAAGCACAATCGCACTCCTCTGCCTAAACAGGCATACGAAAGCAAGCAAAGCAATGGCTTTCAATAATGAACCAATATTATTTTCTACGTAGGGCCCTTACAGACTTAAAATGTTAGGTAAGCATTGGGATGTCTAGATTTTTCCATATTGGTTTCTAGAATGGCTTTTAATAATGGACCAATATCATTTTCTATGAAGGCACTTTCTAGACTTATCATGTTGGGTAAACACAGAGATGTCTCGATTTTTCTACATTGCTCCTAGATAGAAATAAATATTGCTCTAATATTGAAAGTCATTCTAGGACCAATATTGAAAAATCTAGACATCCCAAAATAGATCCCTTGGTACATGTTCTGATGGGACCCATATTAGCCAATTTTGAGCTCTATTGGGGTCAGTGTACAAATAATTGCTAGGGTTATTGAGTCAAGAGAAAATACATAGTAAGTAAACTTTCAAGAGACTATAATTCACACGGGTCATCAGTATTCTATTTTTAGTGTAACAAATAACTATAAAGTAGAACATATTAAATCAAGTATATTCAACCAAAATCCTCGAAAATTGTATGATAAACAGCATTTTTGGGCATGAAATTTCATACAAAATAAAATATTTCTATATTCACATAAAATAAATTATTATATATAAGAACAGGGGGGGAGGGAGAAAAACAGCTAAATTTCTCATAGCAAAAACTCTCATGCCTTTCCCAAACTAAAATGGCATGTTAGGCAAACATAAATAAAAAATTTAATAATTAACATTTAACACAGCTTTTTCTAACATATATTCTGACTTCAATGGATCATTCTTCAATGGATCTGACTTCAATGGATTTTCATTTCACATTGTTTTAAGGAAGCAAATTATACTTTGTTTTAAATAGTACACAACTTACAAATTTCAAAACCTATTATGATGTAAATTATTAAATATTTCAAGGTTTATGCTTAAAAGCTTTTAAGACAAAATTTGCAACATTCGTTAAATTTGAACAGAACATATAAATCTATCTTAACAATCATGTACTAAAATATTTTCTTGCTTTACATCATGTTTATAAGTAATGATTCATTATACACTGTTGATATTTTTTTATAGAAGTTTATGCACCTATAGCAGTATATAAATAAACCAGTTGCTATCGAGATTTAAAATTGCGTAGTCTCAATTGGAAGGAAACCCTTATGCCATTCTCCTTTGTTTTGAACATTAAAGTAAAAATAATTTTTTAATGAATTCTGTTTTAAAATTAAATTTGATTCTTAAATTTTAATACCAAAAAATTATTAATCACATTAAAATCTGTACTTTAAATTAAACTTTTACTTTAAGCACAGTACATATTTGGTTGAAAATTANTAAATATTTCAAGGTTTATGTTTAAAAGCTTTTAAGACAAAATTTGCAACATCCCTTAAAGAATAGAACATATAAATCTATCTTAACAATCATGTACTAAAATATTTTCCTGTTTTACATGATGTTTATAAGTAATGATTCATTATACACAGTTGATATTTTTTGATAGAAGTTTATGCACCCATAGCAGTATATAAGTAAACCAATTGCTATCGAGATTTAAAATTGCGTAGTCTCAATTGGAAGGAAACCCTTATGCCATTCTCCTTTGTTTTGAACATTAAAGTAAAAATAATTTTTTGATGAATTCTGTTTTTAAATTAAATTTGATTCTTAAATTTTAAAACCAAAAAATTATTAATCACATTAAAATCTGTACTTTAAATTAAACTTTTACTTTAAGCACAGTACATTATTGGTTTCACACCGATTTAGAATTCCATTTCCTCATAAGAAAATCTTAGGTTTTGGTGTGAGTAATAAATTAATAAAAATTATTTAAATTCATACCTTTGTGAAACTTTGTCCAGCATCTTTCAACATGGCAGCTTTCCATGTTAGCAAACGAGCAGCTTCTAATCTTGTTTCCATATCAGCCAGTTTCATCTTAGAAGAGCAGAGAACATCAAATATTTAAATAATAATAAAAATGTCAGTACAGTGCGCACAAAAAAAGGATCATCCTGAATAACTTTATCTTTGATCTAATGATAGGATCTTCACATACTATGACTCATCCTTAATAGTTCGAAGGGGTGACCTCAAATATGCTACTTAATCAGTGCAGACTATATTTTAAGTTTTGAAATCGAACACAAAAACGTACTTTTTCAGAATAAACATACCTTTTTTTCGACGGATTCGGATTTCTGACCTCCAAAATATAGGGGCTAGCCACAATTTTGGAAATATTGTCCCTATAGTTTTGTCAGAAGAGTAATCAAAGGTTTGAACCCCATAATGTTAATTTTATTTTTTGTGTATTATGCCATATCTCGAGCAATTTTTAAGGAAATAGAAAAATTATTGGACATGATTATAAAATTTGTTTATTCAAAGGTAATTCCATGCAAAAAAGAAATTTTTGTAAATATTATTTTTTGATTAAAAAAGAATCAAATAGAAAATTTTGAATAGAAAAGCATACAACTTTTACATCATTTTCAAATATGTAATTTTATATGGCGAAATACAAAATTTGAGCGCAATCGGTTAAATAGTTTCTGAAAATTCGAATTTTAAATTTATGACTTTTTCAAAATTCAATTTCTCAGGTACTATTCAACTAATTTCTCTCAAATTTTGTATTTTGCCACGTAAAATTGCGTACTTTAAAATGATATAAAAAATTATTTTTCCCAAATCTCACAGACGATTAACTGGTGAATTAGGATATTTCTTGCAGCCACATACCCTCATGACAGTTAATGAATAATTTGTCCCTGTCATTTTATATGTGCCTGATTGTTTTTTGTTTGGCCCTCAAGTTTAATAAAAAAATCTGTATTTTTTTCCGTCTTTTATCCAGAACAAGAACCAAATTTTGTTTGCCTTCAACTCTGGTCCTCATGTGATGTACGTGTGACCTCAGACTATCTTCCTATTCAGTATTCAAAAATGTTTTGCGATAACCAAATTCATTGTTATTCGATTCGCTGGATAATGGAAAATTATATCCTCCTCTTGTCCAAATTAATTTATTTCTCAGTTTTATATTTGTGTATTAAATGGTTCTTTATTTATTGACTAAAACTAAAAAGAAAGCAATAGCTCATTATTGTCAAGGGATTCATGAAGGTTAAGGATCCTCTATTTCGTCATCAACGATCTGATCGAGACAATAAGGTCAACATTGCGCACAAACTGCCTTAACTTCCCAGAAAAGTTGGTATATGGGTGATTCTTTTTAAACATGACAATTCGGACCAAAAAATTTCTTCAAATTTAAAGTCTTTAAAATAATGTAAAATTTTTTTTGTATACTTCTTTAGTTACATTTTTTAATATCTTACAGACAGCAGTGTAGTTTATTGACATTTGCTCGAGAAAAAAAATAAAATAGAAATTCACCGAATCTTGAATGCCAGGAAAATGACATATTAGCTTAGAAGTTTAAAGTTAAAGTTTAAGTTAATAGTAAGTAACTCAAATTAAGCCTTTATGTTAGATGGATCATAAATTGCTTAAATTAATTCTTTTTTTTTCCACTGTAGAAAGAATCAAATTTTTTTTTGTGGCTGATATGTACAGAATAAAATTGTGTATAATAATCAATCATTAAATAAATAAATAACTTTGATTACATCCAACCATATTACAATCATACATAAACTTGATATTAGGTTAATATTTTCTTTTCCTCCTTACAGTATTAGCAGTTAAAAAGAAATTTTGATAACACTTCAATGTCCTGGAATTCATAAGCCAGGAAATGACAGCCAGGATAATGACAAATTCGCCATTTTATATCATATAACTTCACTTCAATATTTTTGCCTAACACGTTAACATTCTGCAGAAAACAACAGGATTTCTTAAAATAACTCAGATAAATCTATGTAGTTTATGTTATTAATGATTTCAAGAAGACAGGAAAACGACAGCACAAAAACCTACTCATCCTGAAAAATTTCTTGAAATATATTTTGAACCAGAAAATCGGTTCTTTATTCAAGCAACAAGGCATGTTCATATAGGGGGGTATCTAATCAATCTATTAACATAAGATATTGATTCCTGAAGCTATCTATTTTGGGTATAAACCACTAAATAAAAGTAGCCAGGAAAATGACAGACTTTCTTGGGACGAACAAATTATTGACAGAAAAAATTATTTTAAACGAAATTTTTGTAAATAATACCCTCTGCGTATATTCTAGAAATGCTTACACCGGTTGAGATAAAGAAATTAGATATTGAAACATTCATGGGAAGTTCTGGAGCTAATTATTATTGAAAACATTGTTTGGGACATGACAGGAAAATGACATTTTGAAGTTCAATTAAATTTTTTAACTATACAAAACAGTCAATGCTAGTGCTAAGTCATTTTAAAATACTAAAAGCAATGCTATTTATTAATTTTTTTAAAAAAAAGTTCTTTTAGTATTATAGTATTAGATCATGGAGCAAGGGACAGCGAATTGTCATATTTCGCGAGAATCACCTATATATCAATCTGAAGGGTTTCAAGCAGCCACTGAATATCGAACCCAAGTTCTTCACAACAGTTTAGTGTTTACGTCACAGACTAAGTACGGATCATTGATAGAAAAATTGTATATAAAACATTTAAATCTGTGGTGGAATATAGCATATAGTGAAATATTAGCAACAAAATAATTTTCAAAGAAGCAAATGAATAACATACCTATTTTCGATTAGGAATTTCATTCGGCAAAATGCTAATCCCCCCCCCCTTAAAATATAAGTTTGAGGCACCTGACAATTTCATTAGAAGATTTGAGTTCACCCCCTTGAACCATTAAGTTTCAATCCTAGAGCGTGAAAAACCGATCAATAGATCAAGAGTTATTCAGGTTGGTCCGTTTTATTTTGGCGGACTGTACTATAGTCTAATAATTACTTTTTGCATTAAATATTAATACTTATGTAAATTGTAACATTAAAAATATAATTTAATTTAAGCAATAAATATTACCTGTGTTGCTTGTTTACCCAGTATAGGGTTTCCAAAAGCTAATCTTTGTGAAGCATAGTGAATAGCACAATCAAGGGCAGCCTAAAATACATGAACAATATTAAATAACGACTATTAAAGTAAATCAGCAGTCAGAATGTGAAAAAAGGCATTTTAAATACATAAACAAAATGAATCAATGAAAGTCTAATTGTTTTTATTTGTCAATATTGCAGTGGCAGAATCACGAAGACATTGTTGCAGAACATTACAGAATTCTTGGAGAAAGAATTTTTCATTTGCGAAGCGAAAAATTTTGTGTTTTCTTACCTGCAGAATTTTTTGTAAGTTTAAGTTTTTTGAACAATGCTTTTTTTCTTCTTTTCTGCAGAATTATTTTCGAAATATGCATTTCTTGCATTTCGGAGGCATTACAGAGTTCTTGGAGAAAGAATTTTTCATTTGCGAAGACAAAAATTTTGTGTTTTCTTACCTGCAGAATTTTTTGTAAGTTTAAGTTTTTTGAACAATGCTTTTTTTCTTCTTTTCTGCAGAATTATTTTCTATTCTAAATATGCATTTCTTGCATTTCGGAGGGGAAAGAAACGCTCATGATTTTTTCTTCTTTAAAAAAAGAAAAAAAATTGGTATGACTGTGAGTAGGAATTTTGTTACGAACTCAGATTTGTAGCAAAATAATTAATAAATCATAGTGGTATGTTTGTCCTTCCTTTTTTTATTTAGTTGAAATAAAATTTATTCCATATTTTTAACATACCATTAGCATACGAAAGCTTTAAACCAAGCAGTCCTCAATAAATCGCCTAAAGCCCAAGCCGATTCATATATATGCAGTGATTTGATCACTTTTTACAATTATTGCTACAATTTTTTTTTTTTTATATCCCTATGTCTTTCATGTTACTTTTGATATTTTCATGATTTTTTTAAAAAAAGAATACGGATATTACGACACATGTATTTGATTAATTTACTTTTAATACGGAGATTCGAGCACCGACTCTTTGGCAGTTATTGCTATTGATTTCTACTTAGTTTTTCGCCTTTAATATTATTTTGACATGTGAAGTCCGTATCACACATTTAAATATCTAATCACTTTGTTGACGCTCTCAATTCACGTAAATCCATGTGATGTTTCAAATGTTTTTTGACAGTTATTGATATTAACTTATACATGGTTTTTTAAGATCCCAATATATTTTACACATATTTTATATGTATTCCCAATATATATTATCTAATGCAAGAAGTTCGAATCACGCATTAGAGTATTTATTTCTTGACGCAATGTTCCTATCAATTTTTCAGCAGTTATTGCTTTTGATTTCCCCTATGTTCTTAAAATAATACACTTTTGATATGACATTAGTTATTACACACGTTTGAGTAGCCCCTTTTTGAAGAGTCTGATTCTTTTTTTTTTTTTTTGGTAGTTACTGCCACGGATTTCATTATTTTTTTAAACGTGATTATTAGTCAAAAAATGTGAAAAGGGAAATAATTAGTGTGTTTCTTTCCTCCTCAAAACAGGAGAATATCGCCCATAATATTAGATTATGTATTCTTTTAAGCGTAATAAAAAAAGGAAAAAATTCTTACATTTACAATTGAAAAGAATCAGATTCAGTTTTGTTCCATAGGGGAGAGTGGGGTCAATTGTAACAGGGTACGATTGTAACAGAGCAAAAATTTCGAGCTTCGGGTTCTAGATTTGGTTCCTAGGTGGCGCACAATGTGTATTTACTAAATCTACATGTACACCCCTGCTGGACACCATTTTTATGTACTTTTGAAAGAGTTACATCACAAAAGATATTTTCAAGCTACGTAAGTACTTTTTTTGGTATTAGAATATTATATTGTAACAAAATAATTTTGTTTAAACAAATAAAAAAATTATTAATCGAATATGTAAGGGGACACCTTAATTAACATTTTAAAAAAAAAAGATTAGTTTTGTTAATTAACTAGCATTGTTTTTAACAAATGAAGCTGAAATAGCGTCTTGGGGACGATTGTAACAATAAGTAAAGGGACGATTGTAACAGCTGAAAATAAATAATCTTTTGTTTACAAACCATTACTTAACTCTTTAAGAACCACCAATAGTTTCCTATATCATTTATATTATGTTGCATGTGCATTATTTTCTTTATCACCTTTCACAGCATAAATTAAAATTTTTAACCGCTTAGAGTTAAAAGTTTAACCCTTTAGGTCTCTGCTCATTATTATTTTTACTCCTAAAATATCACTACTATTTTGATCAATAAAAAAATATATCACAGCTATGATAATATGTATAATTAACTATGTTTTAGATAAATTTATGAACTGTTACAATTGATCCCGTAAGTGGGGACAACTGTAACAAGTGCACGACTGTCAGAAATTGTTAATAACTAATATAATAACATTTAAAATAAGGTATTTAATTTTTTTTTCTAGTAGAGGATAGTCTACTTTACTTGCCTGTCAATTAATACTTATAATATATAGGATTTTTTGTTAGTTAAAAATAGTTAAGTAAAAAATGTTACAATTGACCCCACTCTCCTCCACATAAAGGCTTTTTTTGTAAACACAAAGCGCTTATATTACTTTAAATAAGTAATCTATATATTTGTTACGATTCAGAAAGGAATTTGTGTAAAAAAATTGTAGCAGAAAGTTTTAAAAATCTCTGCTACAGGGGTCAATATTGGCAATATAAAATATATACTAGGCTATTGATCACATTTCTACCAGATTGACAATAAAAGTCTAGTTCAGTACAGTTTCTCTATTGAATGACGAAGAAAATATACAACCGAGCAATTGGATTTAACTCTAGATTTAACTCCATTTTGTTTTTAGAATCAAAAGGTTAAAAATTTATTCCTTATTATGACATACTTATTAAGAAAGAAAATCCTATCAATTTCAGATAATCAGTATGTTTGGTCAGTTTATTTTTCACTCCTTGATTGTAATAAAGTATTTTAACATTGTTAAGAGTTTCATAAACTTGTAGTGTTTTCCCCCCATTTTGCATTGATATTCTAACCACTTAAAAGGTTACAATTTCTTCTAGGTGGCTTTTTTTATTATACTGCTAATGTTATACTACTGAAAAAATTTCTTTTAGTAATGCCTGTAGCTCACTTTTGTGTTTAAGGAGAACTTTTTAAATTATACATTCTTGTAATTCAAGTCGAAATGAACAATAAAAAATTATTTTATAAGCTTTGCTCCATTAGAATGCACGTTAATTAGTTTTGCTTTATTTAGTTTAGGGTATTAATTCCTTAAGTGTCTGATACATCATGAATCATTGCATTTGGATTGGGGAATATAAGAACCACCTGTAACAGAAAAAATATTTATAGATATTTTAAAAAAATTAAGAAAGAAAAATTGAGAAAAATGATACGTGACAATAAAATAATTAAATAAATTAAAATAATTACATTGGGTTTTAGATCAATTAGCCAATTTTACAGAGAATGATTATTTAAATTTTTACCTCGGATTTATAATGTATCGCAAGTAGTTAAAAACTAATACATTGTTGAGATATAGATTAATTGATTCATTTTTGAGAGAAAAGCTATTTAAATTGTTAAATCTGATTTATAATATATGTCAGTGAAACAAGTATGTTAAAATCAATACATTGAGTTATAAAGTAATTGTTCAATTTTGCAGAGAAAATATCTTCAGATGTTAACTATACAACACAAAAAATTTTTCAGCATCATTAAGTTTGAGGTCAAAATTTTGCCAATCAAAGTGCAAAATATTAATTTGAATTACAAATTAATTTGAAATTTTGTACTTTTAATGTTTGTCTTTCATTTACTATAAACATAAAGAGAACTTTTCTTTGCAGTTCGTGTTAGTAGGCTCAGAAGGATAACAGGACTCATATTATATATTTATACACACGCACATACATATATATTTAAGGTTTATGACTATTACATTATATATTATGTACAATTATACATATTTCTAAGAAAACACATCCAAATTTTTACTTCTGTAGCCACATCGCTCCCTAAATTCTACCTGCATTCGTCCGTGACAAATCCTCCAGGAGCGATTGTGGCAAAAAAAACAGAAAATTTTATCTGCAAAAACTCGATAATAAGATATCAATTTATATGCACTATAATTATTTAATATAATTTTTTGAACTAAAACTTATAATTAAATTATCTACCAATAAACAATATCACACTTTTATAGTAATTAATTTAAAAAAAAACTTTTGGATCTTAAATTCTTGCGACTATGAATCGCGATATAGGATTTAAGAAAGCGAAAATACAAATCGCAATAAATAGCGTAAATATGAATCGCAATGCATTATTTTTAGATCCCGTGAATATGAAGAACATAAAATTTTGAACTTTCGTGAAAATGAATTGCGATATTGATTTCAAAAACGTGTAAATACAAATTGGGATGTTGGATTTTTAAATCGCGTGAATACGATTCACAATGACTAACTTTTAAATCAGATCAATACGAAAATCGACGTTTGACATTAAAATCGCAGTATTAGCGGATTCCGGCATAGTTACAAATATTAAAAATGGTGAAAATCCAAAATTACGGAAAAGTCACGTGTATGAACCAGTAATGTGTTCATTTATCTGCCTCAAGTTCTGTAACAAGTTCATTTATCTGCCTGGTAGTGGAAATCAGAGTCATGATAAAGGTTTAACACTTTTAATACATATTCTTCCAAAGTTACTTTATATTTTATGTGAAAAATTTAAGGCTAATAATTTTTCTTTTGCATTTGGAAAGTAAGCTTCTTTTTGAAAATAAATTATGAATATAAATTATGTTCTACAATGCCTGTAAAGGTTTTGAATGACATTTTTTTAAAAAAAGAAAGAAGTATTTTTTTTTTGTTTTTGTTTATTATCACACTCACCTGTGCAATTCCCAATGCTTGCCCTGCAACACCGATTCTTCCAGCATCAAGAATGGTCTGAAATAGTTTTGTATTAATAAACAAAATTTCATATTTGTATTAAAATGAAATATCAACTATGATAAGCTAGAAGAAATTACCATTGCAATTT